TCAAGGAGCTTGCATTCAATTGTGTAAAAGCAATATATACATAGAAAAAGAAATACAGAATGTAAGAAAAGTAGATATAATTTGGGGGTGAGAATATTTATAACTGGCGGCAAATCTTAACATTATAGATCTTAATTTCTATCTTAGTACTGGAAGATAGTGCTTAAATATAACTTATCCCCATATTTTAAAGATGAAGAAACTGAGGTCCAGAGGGAAAGTGACTTGCCCTTGGTCATAGAAACAGTAAGCAGCAGAGCTCCTGTTTTCATCTCAGGTTTTTGGCTCTTCATTTCATTGCTCTCCCCCTGTTGTACCATGTTAAGCCACCTGTGGCAGTTGAGCTGGGCTATATGGAGGAAGCTGAGGATTCCCTGAAGTGAGTGGGGAAGTGAATTCTAGGCTTGGTGGTACTCTGCAAAGACATGTGGAAGGGAAACTGCCAGTTGGCCTGTTTGGCTGAGCTGAAGAGTATGTTAAGGAAATTCATTAATGTTCCTGGAAAGGTAAAATGGAGCCAGTTTATAAAGGGCTTTAAAAGTCAGGGAATTTTGTATTTTATCCTAGAGGCGAGAGGGATCTTTGCTTCAGGAATATCAGTTTATCAACCAAATGGAGGATAGGTTGGAGAGGGATGAGATTGGAAACGAGTTGGAGAAACTAATTAGAAACTTATTGCACAGTTCAGATGACAGATGAGGAGTGCCTGAATCAGAGCAGTTGGCAGGTGTGTGAGTATAGAGGTCAGCGGTGTGAGATGTCATATTGTGGTAGAATTAACAAAACTTGTCAACTGATTGGCTATGAAGGAGGAGGTAGGAAGAGGGAAGAACAGAGTGTGACTTTAAGGGTACCAGTCTGGGTGACTGCAAAGACAATGTGCCCTCAAACAAAATACCAAAGTTATGAAGAAGGAAAGATATTTGGGAAAAAGATAAGTTTTATTTTGACTATTGAATTTGATGTGCTTATGAAAATATGTAATATGTAATTTGACAATTTGGAACTGGAGTTCAGGAGAAGATAGACTTTATGCTGGATATTGATATTAATATTAATTGATGTTAATATCTGGGAGTTGTCTGCATTGAAATGATAGTTGAATCCATGGAAACTTAATGAGATCATGGAAAGAGAATGCAGGGTAGATCAAAAATCTTGGTTTCCTAATGGAACAAGTATGTATGGGGGTCATTGAGTGGATCTCTAAGGTAGAAAATATTTTAAGATATTCCTTGATATCCCATTTTTGGCCAAAATTAGAAATTCCCTAGAAAGGAGTTTTAAATTTTTTTGTTTGTATTTTTACTTTTTCACTCCACGTTTAAATTGACAGAACAATTTAAAAGATCAGTGATAAAATATTTTATACTTAACTGTAATGAAAACTTTATCATTTTTGTATTAGTTAATGATTTTGTATGTGATGATGTTAATGAGATACAAGGTAAAGAGTTGAATATTATTTTATGTGAATTTTTTTTAGATATACACATGTAAACAAAACATTGATATGAATTTATTTTCCTTGTATGAATCATTAGGAAATCAGTTGTCAGATACTTTAAAGAGAAGCTCCTCCTTGCTTATGAATTACCAAAATTCTGTGCTTTTCATTAATTTTAAGAGTTCTTTATTGGGACTAGATTAATAGCAAAGCAGTACTTTTAATAGTATAGAATTCCAGAAATGAAATAGAATAACTATATATAAAGTCTCCACAAAGTTTGTTCTGACAGTTGAGAGACAGCTGTGGATAGAGTACTGGTGGAATCAGGAAAACTGAGTTCAAATGCAGCCTTAAATATTATTAACATGTGTGACCCTGGGCAGATCACTTCTTAACTTCTGTTTACCTCAGTTTCGTCAGCTCTAAAATGGGGATAATAACAGCTTTTTCCTGACAGGGTTATTGTGAGGATCAAATGAGATAATATTTGTAAAGTGCTTAGCTTAGTGCCTAGAACATAGAAGGCACTATAGAAATACTTATTCCCTATCTCATCCCTGACAGTAAGAAAAATTTAAATTGAAATGAAGATAAATTGTTATCACAGCTTGTTTTTCTTGGCTGCTTAACATTTCTAATAATCATTTGTCCTTATGTCTTTACACTGGACTTATTCTTTGGCGATCCTGATAATTCATTGTGAAACCTCATATGAATATTATTAATGACTAATCAGATTGAACCTCTGCTCTAGAGCTATATAGTTTGCTCAAACCTTCAAAATATGACAGTCAGACTTGAAGAGAAAGAGTATCTTAGAATTTCAATTAAAAATGCATCTTGGTAGTAAAGATAGATTACAAATAATTGTGCAGTCTCTTTAAGGTTTTGACACAGTTTCACATGGCATTATAAGTTATTTTAATGGAATTGTATGATTTTCATAAGGACACATAAGAATTTTCTGAATGATCAGTAGGTTTGAAAAAAAACACTGTAGTTTTTCGAAAAAAAAAATTTTTAAAAAATAACACCACTTCAAAGTAGCATTGCAATTTTCTGAAGACAATGCAGCCTACTCTCCTCCTGTTTAATTCTGGGACTAACTTGCTATCTATTTGTAATATTCTTTTCATCATAACCACTTTTTGTGGAAAGGTGCTTCAATCATTTCATTATTGGCTCTCACAAGCTGCCCCTTATGCCTAGAATTCTCTCCCTCTTCATCTCCTGCTTCTGCCTTTCCCTGGCTTCCTTCGAGTCCCAGATAAAATTCATCCTTCTACAGGAAGCCTTTCCTGATCTCCCTTAACTAGTATTTTCCCTCTTGATTATCTCCAGTTTATCCTGTATATAACTTGTTTGTGCATGGTTATTTGCATGCTGTCTCTTCTATTTCATTGAGTTGTCTTTTGCCTTTTTTTGCATCCTCAGTGCCTAGCACATTGTAGGAGCTTAATAAATGTTTATTGGCTGTCTGATTGACTGGCCTGGCAGTTTTCTGCGAAGTTTCTCCCATAGAACAAAGATCTCACAGTTTATTGGGATACAGTAGAATACAATTACAGTACTCAATAGATTTGTGTTCTCATCAATTTGGATGTTCCCTCCTTGTCCATCCTACTTTATTCTTGACTAAGTTCTTTCACAAATTTGCCACAAGAGATCCACTATGGAGGTCTTCCTTGCTTTCTACTGACATCAGGATGATGTAGAGCTTGCTGGGGATCCCTCTGATTGTCTAAGTGGCATCCCTCACTCTTCCCAACTTACTAGCCCTAGCTCATCTTTTGTTTCTATGTTTCCGCGATAGTATGTTTTACTCCTGTTCTTTAAAATTTTCTATTTGTTACATGTTCCGGGTGGCTCACAGCTATCATTTGTTTCTTCACTGCTTTCTGTTGGTAATAGTTTTTAATTCTTTTGTTTTAATTAATATTGTTCAGCCATAAAACTACACAGGATAATATTGGTATTAAAAAGATAAGCCTTTGTTCCTGGGATGAAGTTTGGGCTCGTTCAAAATATCATTGCAGTTTCCTGAAGACAATCCAGCCTATTCTTCTGTTTAATTTTGGGGCTAACTTAACTATTCCGTTTATACTATCTGGCTAAGATGCATATACATACACACACACGGACATGCACACAAGTGCATATACACACAGAACAAATACCTTAAGTTGTCCATCCAACATCTTGTATCTGGTAATCTGGACAAGACAATAACTAAAATGTGCTAACAGCATCTAAGTTAATGTGCTTATGTATTCCATCTTCAAAATGATTCTTGTGTTAAAGTTCAAAGATCAGACTTGTCAGGATGTACTGGCAACATTAATAGACAATGAATTCATTATGTAGGAGAGGGAGTATTTTAAAAGGGTTGTTGAGACTATAAAAAGCTTTTACTGAGTGGCTGGGGAAAACCATAACAAAACCTGAAAAAATGCTTTAGGTCTCCCACATTTCCTAATCCTCAACATCCGTTTTATAAATTCTTTTGATTTCTAGTAGATAAGGATTTGGTACTATATACCTCAGTTTAGTGGCTTTGTTAAAATTGACTTAGATGAGAAAACTTTTGGCAAGAAAACATACCATCATGCTTTTAAATCCTTGCAACTCTTCATTTTGAAATCTTGAACCTATCACTTTTACTGTCAGTTATTTTTCTGGTGATTATTATATCTGCTTGAAGGATTTCTGAACAGCCACAGTACTTTTAGTACACATTCCATGGAAATTCAAGGTTGCCATCTCTTTTTAAATTAAGAAGTCAGTACTACCTTCTTTCTAGCCTGTTATATGTTTATATCTATATGTCTATACACACATACGTACACACATGTATGATATATACATACACATATGCATGTGTGCATATATAATACATGTATGTATGTATTCAGCCTTATAAATGAAGATTGAAAGAATGTATACAAATGATGATAGCGTTCAGAATAGTCATATTTGCATTCTGTTCATTTTATTTGGTAGTACCTTTGACCAAAATTTCATAAGTGATTGTGTATTGCAAATAAGTAGAACTTCTTACTTTAGAAAAGTTGCTTCTTAGACTATTGGAAAAGCCAGCTTTGAAAAAGACATTGTGTAGTCAGTCACTGGTCATTCACTTAAAAGTTTTATTTGTTTTGGCTGCACCTTCAGTCCTTATGAGAAGCTTCTGAATCTGACAGGAGAGTGTTTATTAAAAAAGTAAATAGGTGGGGGCAGACTTTTTGTCTGTCCCATTTTCCCTCACTTTGCACTACTTCTTTGTAGAGAGTTCAGGCAGATAGTTTTAGTTGGAAAGAGAGGGAAGTTTTTCATACCTGATAATTTCTTGTTTCAGACAGAGCATGCCTGCCAGTCAGTTCAGCCATCCCCAAGTTTACAAAAGGGGAGTCTGTTAAGATGTAATATAGAAAGGTTCTGTTTTTAGTTTTTTCTCATTTTGTTTTTTATGTATCATATTGGATATTTTTGCTGCTGTTCTTATTTTTTACATGTTAGTAATTTTGACGGCTTTTGGATAATTCCACTCTAGAGGGAGAACTTGGTGGGCGGTCCTTCCTGTGACACGACCCTTGAGTGACAGTTCTGTTTGATTGCCTCCAGTACTGTGAGGAAAGGACACGACTCTATGGTGAGGACTGATGGACATACATTATCTGAGAAAAGAAACTACCAGGTAAGACCATATTTTTTTCCCCCTTTTCCATTGGTCACTTACTTTCATAAAATTGTTTAGCTATATGTTAGCCAAAATGGTTGAATTAGGTGTGAATCAGTTTGAAAAATTGTGATTACATTTAATTTATATACTATGTTAGACAAATGAAAGAATTATACATTTTTTTCATATCAATATATTACTTACAGCCTGTCATTATGGATATTCTTTTAGAACTAAAATTTAAATTTTAGTTTTTGTGATATATAATCTACCCCAAATATTATTTTGGTCTGTTCACAAAAGTATTATTACATGGTTGGTAGTAATGAATCAACAACTCTTTTCCATAGAGTTTTGGTAAAATTGAACCTGTACTCTTGCATTCAAGTTTTGGAAATACTGTAATGGGAATTTTGACAAAAATGAAGTTGGCAGATAGAAAAGTAAGTGAGAAATATAACATTTTGATACAACGTTTGTTTGGTTGTTGGGGCATTTTTATTATGTTGACTTTGCCAATAGCTTACCATACCTGCAGTTCTACTACTTGTTCTCTCCTTCATAAAGCCAATCAATAATATCTATTCTCATATCCTAATGTTAGGGTTGTTTTAATGGCAAATTAAATAATATCTATATAACAGATAGCTTTTTTAAAAAAAAAAGCATTTCATTGAAAATTAATTGAGGAAACTATCATTTGGATGAAGTTTTTTTAAAAAATGGCCTTTGAGTATTTTTTCAAAGATGCTCCATTTTACATAGTGCCCTCCTTTACCTGCAGTTCAGAGGAATTAACTTAGTCCTCTGATATACATATACTCAAATTTCAGTGTGAGGCTCTTTCTTTCCCCTTCCTTCTCCCCTTTCTGACTATTACAACTTCCCCTTCAGTTCTTGTTTTACTCTAGATTCTAGATTAGTGGCTCCTAACCTTTTTTTGTTAATCTGGCAAGACCCACAGACCACTTTTCACAATAACATTTTAAAATGCATAATGTAAAATGCATAGGATTACAAAGGAAACTAATTACATTGAATATTTTTATTAAATTACTTTTAAATATTAGTCCATGGACCCTTGGTTGCACTTAAAATAAAGTTGTGAATAACAAGAATGATAAAAAGGAAGGAAGAGGGTGGAGCGTGTGCTTATGTCTCGTCTCTCCTCTCCTCTCCTCTCCTCTCCTCTCTCTCCTCTCTCTTCCTCTCCTCTCCTCTCCTCTCCTCTCTCTTCCTCTCCTCTCTCTCTCTCCTCTCCCTCTCTCCTCTCCTCTCTCTCCCCTCCCCTCCCCTCCCTCCTCCCTCCCTCCTCCCCTCCTCCTCCCTCCCTCCCCTCCCCTCCTCCCCTCCTCCCCTCCCCTCCCCTCCCCTCCCCTCCCTCTCCTCTCCTCTTCTCTCTAGTATGAAAGTGAGCAGTGTAGGAGAGAGGATCACTGGTCTGGAAGTCAGAGGTTTTAATTCTTAATCTTCTAATGGTTAGTTGTATGAGGGCAGATTAGTTTATGTGGAATTAATTGCCTCATCCATAAAGGAAGGGAGTTACAATCTGTGATCTCTAAGGTCCCTTCCAGCTCTGAAATATTATTACCCTGTGATTCAAGAAATTGAACTGGTATAACAGCAGGCTAGAGGACCATTGCAGTCTGTTGCTGCTGTTGGATTTAGAATAATCTACCACTTGTTCCTTTTTTCCAGCGAGTAGAAGTGAGAAAAGAAGAGATAGTAGATTTAAATAAAGTAGCATTATAAAATGGAAAGAAAACTTAATTTGGATTTGGGAGACTTATGTTCAGGTCTCTCCTTTTTGTTTCCTAGTATTGGGACTTTGGGCAAGTCACTTATCTTCTTAACCTCACTTTCTTTGTCTTAAAAATGAAGATACTACTATTTTCATTACCTGCCCACAGGATTATTGTGAAGAAAGTATTTACAAATTATAAATTGAAATAAAATTGAGGTGTTATTGATAATAAAGCTAACACTGTTAGTATGCTTTTAGCCAAGTTAACTGCTAACCTTAGTTTCTTCATTGATTAAAAAATGCATAATGTTGCTTTTAAGTCCCTTTCACTTCTAGAATTCCATGATTTAATTTATGTATATGACTTTTAAGAAAGATTAAATTGAGACTTTGTATCTTCAGTTGCCCTGGCAACAGGATGCTGGAGTAGGCTCCTTATAGACTTTCTTAACAGAATCCTTTCTTTACTTGTTTGCTTCTGCTTCATAACCACTTCCAATGACATTTGCTTCATGAAGTGTATTTCCCAAGGTGCCTCAGCCAGGATTAGCCCACTAGGATTTCTGTGACTATGTGGTGACTAAATAAAACAAGAGATTTATGCATTTGTTTGTTTCTAAACTCAGCTGTAGAACAGCTGTACTATAACTAACTTGGACCATGCAACTATATAGACAGTTTTCCATACTGGTAGGAGAAATGGGTAATTTCTACTTATAAGGTTAATTATTTTAGCAGTATGATTAATTAGTTTCACAAGTATTCTAATTTGTCATAAAATCGTGCTTATGAAAGAAAAAAACTAATAAAAAAGCAACACTTTTAGGAATAGATACAAATAAAAGTTTCATCTTAGTCTTTATTGATATACTTCTTTGTTGTTTATTGATGTGCCCCTTTGTTATGGTGCCATTATTTTCAAATAAATAAGTCACTTAAATTTGTTAGAAAATTGTGTTCTACATGTGACATCTTTTGGCTGAAATTACTGTCCTCTTCTGTTTTGCAAATGCAGGTATAGAACTAAAACATTCTTGAAATAAGCTGCTGCTATTGTTGCTTACATATTGAAATGAATCTAAGGCATGTACCCATGGCATAATATCATCAATAAAATATGTGAGCTAGTTTAAATCTGAATAGTGATGCTGTTTATATGTGTTGGGAACTTTCACAGTTTGGAATAGAATAAAAACTATCTTGCATGCAAAACATATATGAATAAAATATAAAATACAGAGTTATAAAATATAAAAGTATAAAATATAGTTACATCATACCCCATTTTAAGTGAAATTTATCAGTTTTCAGATTAGAATTGGTAAAACAGGATATTGGGGTTTTTTTCAATATATAACTTGAAGCTTCAAATTTAAAAAAAATGTTTTGATAGAGTATATTTTATGCTAGATTACATCTTTTAGATAAATATTTTAGCCCAATTCCATTGGACATTGAAAAATTCAGTTTGTGAAAGGAGAGATGTCAAATTCTGGAAACTGTAACTGGGATTTAGGTGAGATGACCCTTTGGTTGGAAAAATTACTGTGGTTTGGAAGGGTTTGTTTCACTTTTATATTTGTATTCAAGTACCTGGAACATAGTAGCCATTTAATATATACTATTCTGAACTCCTAGTTTCTATCTTGGTCATTACTTTTCTCCCAGTCAACTAGGTTGAACCTCAGAATCACCCCCCAAATCCTCATTTTCTTGCCAGTTCTACTACAAGATCTCTAATATCTGTTCCTTATTGTCCACTGATGTGGCTCCTATCTTAGTTCAGGCTCACATTACTTCTCACATAGACCTCTCCCAATAGCTTCTACTGCAATTCATCCTTAATACAGCCGTCAAGTTATCCTCTTATCAGTAAACCCTAGGATCCTATACAGACTTCTCTCTTTGACATTTAAGGCCAGGAGGGGAGGAGATATAGGGGAATGAGCAAGGTTCTTGTGGAGAGAAGTGAATAAGCATTTATTAAGTATCTGCTGTGTGCCAGGCACTATGCTAAGCACTTTCCAAATATTATCTTATTTGATCCTCACAGCAACTATGGGAGATAAATGCTGTTATTACTTCCATTTCACGGTTGAAGAAACTGAGGTTGACAGAGGTCAAGTGACTTGCTCAGGGTCATATACCTAATAAGTGTCTAATGCTGGATTTGAACCCAAATGTTTCTCCAGGTCTGGTGCTCCATCTGCTGTATCATATAGCTGCCTTTACGACGTAGCTCTTGCCTACCTTTCCCACCTTTTTACATATACTGCCTTTCACAGACACTTTGGTCCAGCTTAACTGAATTGTTATTGTGTGTCACATACAGCATTTCCTCTACCATCTCCATGCCTAAAATGTACCCCTTCCTGTCTTTTTCCTCTTATAAGGAAACCCCTTCTTTCCTTTGGAGCTCAGCAAAAAAACCATCTTGTACATGAGCCCTTTCCCCTTATGGACTTTTCTAACTGCTACTGCTGCCCCTGCCCTCTGTAGCTTGTGTTTATTTTGTATATATTTTGTGTGTACTTTATATGTTGCCTTCCTCAATGGCATGCAAAGTCCTTGAAATCAGAGATTATTTCATTTTTGTCTTTAAATCTCCAGCACTTAGCTCAGTACCTGGCAAGTGGTAGGAGTGTTTGTTGTTTGAAGAAAAACAGTAAAGTAACAAGTATGGAGAATATTCCCAGAGTGCTGACCAAAGTACAGGGTTATAGAATGCTGTACTATAGAAGGATATATTGATGGTTTTAGGAGACATTTGTCTGAAATGTGTAAGATACTACATAAGCGATTGCCTTCTTAAAACCTTTTATTCTCAAAAATGGCCCACCTAGTTGGTTTCTTTGGAGTATTATATGGTAGGGGAATAGATTTCTGAATGTGGGGGCATGGTGTTGTTTTGTATTACAGAAAGTTAATGTAAATGATTGACAAAAAAAGCAAATGATAACTATAATACTTTCTATTTGGTATTGTGACAAAAATAAGTTCAGAATAAAACATTAAGTTCATCACTAAATTGTGTGTATTGGTGTGAGTAGGTATCTTTGTAAATCTTTAGCCAGCATTGTTGATATTTGAATGGAAAAAGTTTTTCTTTTCTATCAGCAATGGTTGAAAAAGGGTCTCCCCCTCACCCTCTCTTTTATCACCTACCTTGTATCACATTTTTTCTTTAAGAATAATATTTTCTTTTTTTGGTTTGAATTTGGCTTTCTAAGATTCTTATTGTAGTCTTTAGAAATTCTCATCATAGGCCAGAATCAATGTGGTTGAGGTTAAAAAAAGAAATTTCTTCCCACTATTTCTTAAATAGAAATGGGTTAATTTTTTAGTAATTCTGTTTCAAGGAGTGTGCCTTCATTCAGGAGCATCCAAATTATGAATGAACTTAATGATTATTTTCTCTTATGAGGGTCAATATCATCAGACTGGCCAGTTTTTCAAAAGTGGCCTATTAATGTCTGAGGATCATCAGCCTGAAGGGACAGGAGTTAACACTTGTGATTTCATTGTTACAGGGAGGTCGCTCCCAGTTAAGGAAACCCCCTCTGCTTGTGCAGGACTCTCTGTACTTTGCTCTCGTCTACACCTTTGAGGCTTGGAGAGTTGCTCAAGAGCCCTGAGAGTAAAGTGTCTTTGTCAAGGTCCCACAACCAGTAACCAGCCTGAAAGGAAGAGAAAGGCTTG